GCTAATTTACTACGGAACCTTTTTACAGGCAGAACCTTTTTTTGGGGTTCTGTGTAGTACCCACTGGCAGAACCCCAAAAAAGGTTCTGCAAAACTCCTTTTTTTTTAGAGAGTGTGCACGTTAAGAATCTGATAAAAATAAATTGAATAATAATTATATTCAATAATAGATTTTGTATAATAGAATAATTAAGCATATAAGAAAAATAGGTTCTAATTTAAATGTAATAGCCCTTCATAACCAGTGAGTGAGGAAAACTCACGCTCCCCAATCATGCTATGCTAAATTAAATCTAATTAGATTAATCTGTCAATAAATAATTATTCCATTTGGTTTGACATATTGACGTTATTACGGATCTCTCTGTTAGAGGTCCTGTAATTAATAATTTCGTGAAAATATTGGTAATAACACGTCGGCGGTAACTTGACGATATAAGGTTGGTTTTTTGACGTGTTGAACGATAAATGTTTTAGCTGTAATTTTTTGAATAATTCTAAATGGTCCTTCATAACGAACATCAAATTTATGACGGATGTTGAGTGTCTTAACCAGAATTAAATCACCGATGTTGTAGGATGGATCAGAACGATTTACATCGTAACGTTGTTTATATCGTTCTTGATTTTTAATAATATTGATTTTTGCTTGTTCGTTTAACTTGGATAAAAATTGACTAAGCTTTTTTGCATGTTCAGAATCGTATGAAATTGTAAGCGACTTCTCGCTTCTTTTGAGTGATATGCAGTTTAGCTACCATTCATCTCCATTCCATTCCTCCTTACATAGCTATGCATGTTTGTCTGATTGTGCATGTTTGTATCTTATCTTGTTCTGGGAGAGGAGGATGAGAAGAGAGATATATGTTTTTTTTTTGTGAGAGGGATCATTCTTCTCTCGCTGAAATAAAAAAGGAGTGTATGCTTTTCTTGGCTTGGGAAAAGCTCACATTTTGGTGCCGTGACCCGGGAACTTTTGGTTTACCAACTTATTAATCACTTATTTGAAGCTTTTTATGTCTTCGGACGACGACGAACATCCTCCTAAAGAACTTCTTCAGCCACTTACCAACTTTCAACCTCCACAATCGAACTTCATATCTTCCCACATGACAACTCAAGAATATTCAACAATTAAAAAACCGTATCAAATTACTTTTTCTTCACGTGATGAAGAAATAAAATACACACAAAAGCTCTTAGAAAATTGTACAACGTATAATGGTGATGCGGAAGGTTTAACATCTTGGTTAAAAGAAACTGGTGCATTCCTTGTTAAAGAACGTTATCCAGAAACCGATCATCCATTTATTATTCGGCATTTATTAACCGATGATGCCCTCGATTATTATCTAGCTCATGAGGACATGATCTTCAATTTTTATGATCTTCGTAAATTATTATTACATAAACAAAATGCATTAGCGCCCTTACGTACTTTGTCATCACTCGACTCCATCACCACTTTATCGTTAGCTGCTACACCTCCTATTCTCGCGTCTACTCAACTTCCTGCCTCTACAACTACTATTGATAAACCAACAGCTATGACAACTTATACGTGTGCCCAATCACTAGAAGATTTAACACAAAATGATATTCGAAAAACTATTATAGAAGATTTACAACGAAGCACTGCAAAGTTTATCGGAGAACATCGACAAGATGTTCTTAAATGGTTGAAAACTATCGAAATTAAATTTGATACAGCGGACATTCCAACTGCTAAGAAGTTTGATTTAATTCCACAATTACTAGATAAAGGAGCACTTGATTGGTTCCAAGAAAATAAAACGAAGTTTAACAATTCCTGGAGCGTCTTCGTTGAACATTTCAAACGAACATTTGATTCTCCAAACCGGGCTAGAATCGCAATGCAAAAGCTTAATTCTTATACTCAATCACCATACCAAGACGTTCGAAGTTTCTGCAGTGAAATGCGGAAACTGTTTTCGGAAGCTGACTCGCAAATGAGTTCTATGATGAAGTTAGAATTTTTATTGGCAAAAGTGCATCCTAGTTATCGACTTGATTTACTGAAACAGAAACCAAAAGATCCAACAGAATTTGAAACAATGGCACGGGATATTGAAAACATCTATCTTGTGAATGAAGCCATTGAACAAAATACTCAATTCAACACGTCATTTTCTTCTTCAACTTCCGCTCTTCTTTCTGATGCACCTCATCCGGTTTCGTCGAATTACCAACAACCGCTTCGCAATAACAACTATACTAGCACTAACCGGTACACCAGTTCGTCTCGACACAATTCATCTTACTCCAACAAAGCTAATTATTCGCCACGATTTTCGTCCAGAACTTCATTTAGACAAGATCGAACGCCTTCGTATCAATCTTCTAATAATCAACAGCCCGGTAATTCTGTTCATTCTCGCAACACCACCCGTCAACATCTTTTCAACTATCAATCCGCTTCGGCCACACCACAATCTCAACTACAATCACCGTTATCTACATCTAGCATTCCTCCACTTATGCCATCTTCGTCTTCAGGTACTCCACCAATCTCACAATGGTCCCACTCTCCTGCATCAGCTGCTGCCGTAATTTGCCAATGGTGTTCTCAATCCGGTCATTCAGCTCAGGATTGCCCTTTTTAAGAATGGAGCCAGTGGTGGATGGTCCTGTCTCCAATGCTTCACCTTCTCAACCATCCAAACCCTTTCTACTTTATGCTAAATTAATTGTTAATAATATTCCACTACAAACGCTTATTGATACTGGTGCCTCTGCAACTTGCATTAGTTTCAACACCTTAGAACGTATGTCTAATTTCCGTTATATTGATACAACAGCTGCTTCATTTGTACTCGCCGATGGTGTCATTCCTCTTCAAAGCGCCGGTTCAGTAGAACTTTCTATGCAATTCGGTAATGAACTCATCCAATTTCGTGCTTTCGTTATTAACAAACTTTGCGTCGATCTTATTATTGGCATGGACTTTCTGATCATATTTAATGCTAACATCGATGTGAAGTCTCAATATTTATCACTGGAAATTTTTGGTCGTCGTACATCTATTTAACTCGACGATCAATTTCGTCGCCCTTTGATTCCACTTCACGCACGTCATGCTACTTTCGTTCCTCCTCATTCCACAATTGCAATCTTGGTCTCCATTCCGATTTCAGCATTATCAGCATATTTTATTCCAACTTCCAATTTTATTGAACATCCTTATCTCTCGTCTACTCAAAAAATTGTTACCATTCAACATCATCATTCATGTTTACTTGTTACCAATTCAGCTGATGTTCACCAACACATACCAGAATTTTTCTGTTTCGGTTATCTACTTAGCAACCAGGCGGGATCGCCGAATTTTTTTAATCAAATCGCAGCTCTAGGTTGTCGTTACAATGCGAAGAAAAATCAACCAATCTCTTCCCATACCTTCACGCATCCTCAACTACCGCAACGGGTTTTTAATGATCCAAATCGTTTTTATCGACCAATACCTTCGATCAATCGTGTTTCGCTCAATACTCTTCCTCGTTTTTCTTCTTCACAATTTCAACACACTCGAGATCTATTAGTGAACCATTTACTTGATCATGATCACAAAGACCGACTTTCGACTCTTCTTGCTCAATTTTCTCAACTTTTCGACAATTCTCGCCACAATATTTCCAACATAGTCGTCGAAAACGTTTTTAATACTGTTCCGCACTCTCCACCATCTTTCCGACCTCATCGAAATCCTCATACTCGTGAAGAAACACAACGTCTTATCGATGAGTTTCTCGAAGCTGATCTTATTCAAGAATCGAACTCACCGTATGCAGCACCGGCATTTATCGTTCCTCGAAAAGACAATCGTCCGGGTCGTCTCGTTGTGGATTATCGGGCGGTAAATAAAATTACTATTCCAGATGCTAGTCCTTTACCTCACGCCGAAGATTTATTGCACGAACTTGGCAAGGGGTACCAATATTTTAGTCGCCTTGATCTGAAATCCGGTTATCACCAGTTTCGTATACCACCCGTTGATCGTCCAAAAACAGCCTTCGTCGTTTCTCAAGGTCATTATGAATTTCGTGTACTTTCCATGGGACCACAAAATGCACCTGCGGCATTTCAAAAAATTATGTACAAGGTTATGAAGCTATGTCGCGCGTTCTGTCATGTCTTCCTCGATGATATCATCATTTGTTCTAAATCATTCGATGAACACATCAATCATTTGAAATTGGCTTTTGAAACGCTTACCACAGCAAAACTTGTTCTCAACGCTTCGAAATGCGAACTTGCTGTACACCGTGTTGTCGTCCTCGGCCACACTGTCTCGGATACGTCGATCGCACCAACCACTGATGCAATCCAGGCCATTTTGGAGTTAAAAGAACCTCGCACACTTAAAGAGACCAACAAATTTCTTAGTGGTATGGCGTATTATAGAAAATTTGTTCCCAATTTTAGCACTATCGCTGCTCCGCTTCATAAAATCTCTAATTTAACCAAAGATCAACGGCATCTTTTTAAATGGACAGTGGAACAATCGAATGCTTTCCATGCTCTCAAGCGTTTACTTACAACTGCTCCACTTCTTCTTCATTTTCCCGTCGACGGTTTTCCACTTCACTTAGCTACTGATGCTAGCGGTACTGCCACTGATGGTGTTTTATTTCAAGATGTCAACGATCAACGTCATAATCTCTTTTATCACTCGAAAGTTCTTTCACCAATTGAACAAAAATACTCGGTTCCCGAAAAAGAAGCTTTGGCAATTTACCATTGTTTACAACGTATGAGGACTTTAATTCTAGGACGCACTGTTTATATCCATACTGATCATTGTCCCATCTGTGGTATGTTACAAAAACCAGTGAACAATCGACGCATTGAACGTGTGGCCAATTTAATTCAAGAATATCGTATTGCCGAAATGAAACATATTAATGGTAAAAGTAATTGTCTTGCGGATTATCTTTCTAGGCCTTCTGATGATCCACTTTTTGATGTTGATTATGGTCTCGACAGCAAACTTCCATGGTCAACCTCATCAAATTTAACAAATCCTTGCCAGCCTTCACAGAACATCATTACTACAATGACACTTCGTCCTCGACAGAAATTTCGTTCTCCAGGTATATCTATTTTCAATCAAGACGATGAAGATTTTGATGCGGGATCTTGTACTTCTGACAATTCGCGTACCACTCATTCACCAATTATTACATTAACTCCTTCTCCGAATGTTTTCGATTCAAGTCAATTGTCTCATGAACAAGCTCAAGATCCAGATATTCGTCGTATCATTTCTCAATTAAATCACAGCAGCCATCCTGATTCCACCTTATCTTCTTCGTTTATTCTCAAAAATGGTATTCTTAACAAACTTATTACTCTAACTCCTTCGTCTAGACGCCGATTATCCCTACCTTATCTTCCTTCTTCGATGATACGAGGGTGGGTGTGGGTGTGGGTGTGGGG